TAGAGAAATGTTAATAGAATAGACATCCATTATTTGTTCTAGGTTTTGTCCCTCTCTTCTTGTCCCTTTTTCCTCTCTATTTATCAGCGTTCTGATGGCATTTTAGCCAAAGGATTTTTATCAAAAACATAATTAATGTGCACAAATAAGGATTATTTGTATTAACTATACATGTAAACAGAGTTTTATGGGGCCCCCAGGAACTTGGGGCCCTGGGCAACTGCCTAGTATTGCCTAATGGTAAATCCCCCCCTGGATACCCTGCTGGTGGATGTTCTTGAAAGAAAGACGGAGTTGCTTAATCATATTCTGCTTAAGGCCCCATAAGATCTTGTCCGAGTCCTGGTTTAAAAGTAAATTAATTTTAAAAAGTGACCTAAAATTGACTGTGAATAAATGTTCTACAAAATTGATATATTTATTTGATTTCTTTGATTTGTACTGTCTGTTTAGATTTATGTGATATTTTTTGCACAAAATATATCAGTGAATATTGTAATAGTTATGTTTTCAGTTATGTTTTGTAAGCATTAAATTGATAAATGTTATTCACATTTTTTTTGGCTTTATCCTTTCCAACAACAAAAAAAAGACGTCGCGCAGGTAGCTCCCTTTCCTTATGAGCCGTCCCCACCAACTTTCAACACAAAGTTACACCCTTGCTCAAGTCCTGCCTCCAAAAAAACATGCTCAAAAGACAGCAATGAGGTTTCCAATGCGGACATACTGAGAGCTATTGTCTAAAAGACAAATCTCAAATTTATCAAGCTTTACAATTGGTTGCTGATTTTTCTAAAGCCTCAGGTTTATATCTTAACATTAACAAATGTGAAATCTTGTGTCTTTATGATACCAATTGTACAAACATATGTAATGTCCAAGTAAAGAAAATGGTGAAATACCTAGGCATAGACATCACTAAAGATTTGTCTTCCAGACAGCAACTTAATTTCCTCCCCAGAATTAGAAAAACCCAAAATATTTTATGAATATGTGGCTTCAACGTGACCTTTCGATTTTTGGTAGAATTCTCTTATCTAAAGCCGAAGGCATTTCGAGACTGGTATATCCTGCCCTATCACTTTTTGTTGAAAATTCATCATCCAAAGAAATAAATAAAATTCTCATCAAATTCATCTGGAAAAATAAGAAACCTCTTTTGAAGAATGAAATTCTCTCAGCACCCAGGATACAAGGAGGATTTGAATTAATAAATTTCAATGACTTGAATAACACCTTTAAAATAAAATGGATTAAGGAATGTCTTAAAAACCCTAATCTAATTTGGTTTTTTATTCCTAATAATATTTTTTAAAAATTGAGTGGTTTGCATTTTCACTCACCTGTAATTACAGTGTTACCAAATTACCTTTAAAACTATCCAAAGTTCACCAACAAGCTCTCTTAGCATGGAAACTCTGCAACTCCCACAACTTTTCTCCTCACAAAGCCTTAATTTGGAATAATGAAGATATTACTATTAGGAAAAAATCTATATTTTTACAGAACTGGTTTGATAAAAATATAATCTTTGTATGCAGCCTTTTTGACTCTGATGGTATAATGCTAAGCTATGAACATTTCCTTAGACTTAAATCCTTTCCTGTCACATATAAAAAATTCAATTACGTAACTAAGGCTATCCCTAGTGGCCTTTCTCTCCTGATCCGAAGTCATTGTCAGTACCATGAAGCACTTAGAATAAAATCCCCTCTAATGATTAACGGTTATGATGTAACAGACTCAAAATGCAACAACAGACATATACGTCATTGTTTTTACGAAAAGAGAATGATAAAGCCACGAGGAAAAGCATTTTGGGATAACATCTTTATGGTAACTGACTGGAAGAAGGCCTGGCTATTACCTTATAAATACTTTATATCTAATAAGATAAAAGAGATTCACATTAAAATTCTACACACTATATATCCGACAAATTTATATTTTTCTAAACTCTCAGATATTGAAAATAAATCCAGTTTTTGTAACATGGTACCAGAAACCTTATCTCATTTATTTTATCATTGTACTCAATCTACCACTTTCTGGACTCTTCTTGAACAATATATAATGTGTAAACTCAAAACAAACATTGTAATTGACCATAAAAGTGTAATATTTTATTTTGTCCATGGAGACATGAATACTGCTTTTATTACAAATCTATTCATTTTGTATGGTAAATTTCATATACACAAATGCAAACATTCCAAAACATCCCCCAACTTCAAATGTTTCTTGCTTGAATTTAAAGAATACATGAAAACCCTTACATTAATTGATTCTAAACAAAGCACCACATCCACAGATATTTTTGAAAGATTTTTCAAAGTGTAAGTACACTCCTTTTCATTATTTTCTTTCTTTATTTATTTTTTGTTATTAGAGCACCTGTCTAATGTTCTGTGTAACAATATGTCTGTATGTTTGTACAAAATTTTCAATAAAGTTATAAAAAAAAAAGAAAAAAAGAACAGACCTTCAGAGAGGTCTGTTCCACTGTTTGTGCATTGTGTTTTATGTTTTAAAAACCTATAGTCAGTCAGGTTCTATTAAAGTAATTTCTTGGTTGTGGTTAGTAAAATCAACTCTGCTTTCTAAACAGTAAATAATAATAGACGATGGGGCAACATTTTACTCTCAAGCACAAACACAAAGCTTTGTTTTCATGACATATGGGGACATTTCATTCACTTGCATAAATTGTATATGCCCTAAGCCAGTCCCTTATCCTAACTATTACCAGCATATACATTTTTTTTTTTTTTTTTTTTTTACATTTTTACAAAAATAATTATTTACAGACATTTACAATACATTCATTTATCTATGCATTCTAAAATACAGGGTCACATGTAGGGTGTGGGGTCTCATTACCCAGGGCAATCAGTTGTGTGCATTTTACATCAACTGCCACTTAAAAAGCATCAAACCTTCTAATCAATCTTTTTGTTTTGGTACTTCACTACATAGACTCAGTGGGATATTCAGATAATTTTGGATTAGACCTGCAGCAATTTGCAACCTAAATATTCATGAGCATACTATCAAAGGAAGAAAGCCTGTTTTATTCTGTGGCTTTTAACCAGGCTTGCTTGGTGCCCGTAGAACAGAAAATACCATTTTCAGCTCAACCAATGTTACACACCCTATTCAGAGACCTTAAGGCCCAGCACCAAATACCCTATATAATCATTCTATGACCCCTTTAACTTTAAGAGCAAATTTCCTAAGTCAATCTGAACAAAACTAAGAGCCACACTGTAAGTAATTTTCCTGTAAAATAACAGTAAAGAGCTGGCAGCAGAGACGCCACCAATATACCGCTATTTTTAGGGTATTTATTCTTAAATTGATTTTACAGTTGTAGACCGTAAACCAGAAATACGGTATATTTCTATATTTCTATGAGCTACGGTAAAAAGCTGGCAGCTAGGACACCAGCAATATACTGTCATTTTAGGGTTTTCATACCGTAAATTGACTTTACAGTAGTAGTCTGTATTCTCACTGTTCAATGATTTCACAGTCTAATACAGTAAAATATAAATGTATCATATTTCTATTATTTGGAAATTACAATAATATTCTGTTTAGGTTTACTGTAGAGAGGCACAGTAGATACACATTACAATAATTCAATTTAGCAGTTTCCTAAAATATCAACCTTGAATACATGCAATCATTATAAGAACTTCATTATTCTACAGACAGTTGCTCAAGCATTATCATGAATATTGTGCAAAATAAGCAATGAAATCAAAGAGAATCAAAATAATTTATTTCAAAAGGCAATATAATACTGAATACTGCTACTTACTGCTAAACAGAAAATAAACCGTTGGGTGATGCTGACAAGATATTTCGAGTAGCAAACAGAGACAGCAGACTAGCTGACTTTGTGCCAATGTCAATATTATTTAACATTGTCTTTAACACACATAAGTTTGAACACTTGTTCAATAACACAATAGGTCCAAGAAAAAGACCAACACAACAAATACAGAGGAAATAAGAGTTTAAACACTATTAAGACTTCTTCAAAGTAGGAACATGATCACCTTTTTGATTATGAGTAAAAACATTCAGCAAACCAGCATGAGTTTTTCCTCTTAAAATAGTCCTGTGAGATAGATTAAAATTTCCCCTAAACTCCACTTAAAAGATGTGTATTATGTAATCTGCAATGTATTTTCAGATGTCTGTGAAAATGCAGAATACTGTCGGCAGAATTGACAACATTTGGAAAAAAAATGTGAGAACATTTCTAGTAATTATTCTCTCAGAGAAACAAGTTTTTATCTTTTAAGTATTTTTTTTAGATCTTTTTTTATTAAACACAAAACAAACAGTTACATTCCTTGCTCAAGATATAAATATATTTTTTAAACATTATACATTACCCCCCCCCCACACACACACACACACACATACCCCTCAGAACTAATGTGCGTCTACCCACAACATCAAAAAGTAATAAAACATTAGTCAGTCATTTATATAAAGATATACATCTTAGACCAGAAAATGGAAAAACAAAAAAAAAAAAAAATAAAATAAAAGAAATAAATCTTTTAAGTATTATTAAAAAGAAAAGTAATTTTGACATTCTTTCCGAAGCTTATTTCCTAAAAATATTGTTTAAAAAGAAAAATATCTACACCCCCCAAAACAAAAACATCCATCATTTAAAAGGAAAATTTTAAATGGCGTTCTTTTAATAAGGTCAAAATTATACGTACAGTCTCATTAGACATAGCAATTGGAACACACTCCATAAAAAACCTAAAGTATAAAAGGTTTCATAACCACTCTTATCAGAAACAGACAAACTCATTCAGTTTGTTTCGTTTGACTTCAAACGGCTAATTTTTAAAGCATTTTTCATGTATATATTCTGTAGAGATGGAGTCAAGCATTTCCAGAACCTTTGTTTTTCTCCTATAACCATTGTTTTTTTTAAAAATAGATTAAACCCCAGTGTGTTCCACAACTTCCCATGAGCCTCTTGGGCGAGTGACCCTGCACTGCTTTGACTGTGGATCTCTTAATGGGATTATCTATTCTCAGGACAGGAGAAAGAAAGGAGGAGAGAGGAGAATGTACCAAGGACAGACAGTAAACCCTTCACTGTGAAGACGAACTGAAAAAAGCTCAATTAGCTGAAGCAGACTTCTGGTTTGTTCTGGTTCACATTGAGACCGACGCACTGATGGGGACAGCGGCAGGTCAAATGATTTCCCACCAACTGTCACTTTTATTTCATTTCACATGTTTAATTTGAATGCCCCAATGTTTCTTTAGAGGTTTCCACCTGAAACAAAAACAGACGGACACAGTTCATCCAATATGCCGGACAGCGACGAAAGTGAGGAAGGTACAAGCTAAAAGAAAGATTAATAAAAAGGTTTAGAGGATGTTCTGGACCTAAGTTCCACCTGGGTTCATCTTTCTAACAGAGACGGGTCAGGAGGAACCATCGGTGAAGAGCTGGAGTGATATGTCCATCATAGAGCGAGTAGGCCTCAACAGGTGAGACACATAATAACAGCACACGGTATAGAAAAGTTTAAACCTAGATTAAGTTGTTGACTTGTTTTCTAACAGCTTGGACATGACAGAAAAGGACTTGGAGGTAAAAGATTTACAAACTGTAAACTGTTTTGCAATTCCCAAAGCATGGCTGTATTTGATTTGTTCAAGAAGTTTATCTGAGTTTGAAGTAAGAAGCAACTGGATTCCAAGAAACCAATAAAAACCTGAGATCTGACGGCGTTTCTAGACGGCCTTCTCTCAGATCGCCCTGGCTTTTCGCTGCGACCAGTACACCCTGAGACAGAGGCTGCAGTCAGAGGAGCACGCTCGCAACCTGGCCGAGGAGAACATCCACCTGGAGCTCACACGAGGCAGGGAGACTCTGGAGGTACGGCATGGGGGAACAAACCAGGATGGGTTTTTTTATATTGTACATAAACCACAGTTCAAAATACCCAAAACATTTGTGGAAACTATTACCTCAAAGTTTTTGAGTTTTACATCATGATGTAAATGCTGTAAAAAGATAAGTAATTCAAATGTAACTATTTTAACTTACCGTACTTAAAAACTTTAAGGTAATTGGTTTCCACAAATTGTTTTTCAGTATTCTGAACTTATTTGGATTTGCAGTGCATCTTTTGGATTTTTTTTAAGTTACAGTAACAGAAATCCATTGTATTTTTAGATATTTTATTTGAAAACTCAACATGAAGCGAAGCCATTTTGTGAAGCTGAAATAAAAAGTGGCATGATCAAAGTGTTTCCAAGGTATTAATAGGAAAACGGGGTTTCCATGCGTTTGTATTAACTCCACAAAATACACAGAGACATGCATCTTTTGGGTGAATGTCTCCACCACCTTCATCTAGAGAATTAACATTTTTCCTGCCTCAGTCAGATTGGATGGAGAGCCTCTATGAGCACGAAATTCTATCTTCCTGCAGGTTTATTACTAGGATCTAGTTGTGGGATCTGAATAATCCATCCTTTCTGCTTGAAATAAGGCCTAAAACTTGCATAACGTCGCTGTCGGACGTAAACCTCGTATGTCCAAAACCATAAAGTTTACAGGAAATTGTAAAAACAGCGACAGCGGAAGAGTCCAATGGAGTAACGAGATTAAGTCCCAACCTTTTTTCAACACTTTTAATTGGTTAATATTTTCCAAAACATACGTTCACACGTGGGGACTAACCAATTGTATCAATTTATGAAAAAAAAAAAAAAAGTCCAAAATGGGAGTTACAAGGTTTTTTCCCGACAGCGACGATAAGCCACTTTCAACGCAAAAGTTGTGATCTAATAGAAAAACTAATTTGGCATGGAGATATGCGGTCACCTAGGTTTAACTAATCTTAAAATTATTATTAGTTTTTATTTTAATTTAGCTTTGACTTCTGGTTTTATTTTCTATTTTAGTTTAAATACATTTTTGTAACCTAGTTTAGTTTTTATTTTTAAATAACCCTTTGTTTCAGTTTCTTTTATATAATACGTCTTGCATACCGACGGCAAGACTAAAAATAAGCTATTTTTCAGATTTGTTTTAAGTTTAAATAGCCATGTGTAAAAATTCCTACTGATGTTTGTCTACAATTAGAAATGCCAATAAAAGTTTCCCAGGGTGTGATTACATTAGCATGCTCTGCATCTGGGCTTAAATTAGGGCTGCAACTGACAATTATTTTGCAGATCGATCAATCAACAGGTTAATTGATTGGCAAAATAGTTGGACAACAATAATCGGACAACCAGAGATAACCAAAAGGTTCCTTAAAGAAGATTTTTTAACTAAATTAAACCAGTTGAAACTAAAATGTTTCCACTTGAGGAGTTCTGGATTGTAAATATTGACTGACGACAACGTTTTTTTATCTTAAGTGCAAAATGTTAACATATTTTCTTTACATTTTAGTATAATTACTGCCCTAAGTGGGTGGCTCTGTCAGCTAAAGGCATGTCTTACAGTCTCTCACTCAATTGAACGATTAATCGAGCACTAAAATAGTTGACGATTATTTCAATAATCGATTAATAACAATTAATCCTATTGTTTCAGCCCTAGCTTAAATAAACATAAGAAGTTAAAAAAGAGTGAAAACTTGATCTGGAAATGTACGGCTTTAGGATATTAAGGAGAGGAAGTGTGTTTTTCTTTAGACCTTGAAGGGCCTGTGTTTGGACAGTAAGCGCAGCAGCATCCTGCAGAGGCTGGAGTTGTGTCTGGACATCCTGGGTGGGACGGTTGAGCGAATCTCCAGCACAGCAGAGGTGCTTGGCGCTGTTCACCAGGTACATGTTAAAATGCATATACAACAGAAGAGAATTGGACTCTTTACTAAAATATAGTAGTATGTTAGGAATGATTTAAATAACAGACATTTAGTCTTTTTATGCTGCAAATGGTTGTAAACCTGTTTTCTTTTATTCACACCATAACGGGATATTTACGGAGGATCTTATAGGAGGCTCGAGTGAGTCGTGCTGTGGAGCTCATGGTGGCTCATGTGGAGAGTCTGAGGAGACGTCATGACAGACATTTAGCTGAGCTTGAAGAAGCTAAAAAGACAGTGGAGCAGCAGCAGTTGAACTCCAGCCGGCACAGCATTAATCCAAGAATCATCTCAGGTTTGCATCATCTTGCTTGTCCTGTAATGTTTTCCCATGTTTTGATGCTTATTAAGTAAAAAAACAATGCAATATCTCTCACAGCAGATCCAGAAAGTGATAGAAAGAGGAGAAACTCTAATCAGGTGGGCATGTTTTTGGCTTAAAGTTGAAAGTATTTTCAAAAATAAACTCTTCTTACTAAATCTGTCTTTATTTTAAGAGCATCTTACGTCGTAGAGTCAGTGCATCGATTATTTCTAGCCCAGCTCAGGTAAGACGGTTTCCATAAGGAACTCCTCTATTGTTCTATCATCTTTAATAATTCAATCTTCTTCTTTAAAGGAGAAGAAAAAGCTAGATTTAAGGAAGTGGACCTCCTCCTGCAAGAAGCAGTCCCCTCCACTTTTGTCTCCTTCCCTGAGTTTAGATTCTTGCAGCTCTGTCTTCACTTCTGGGGACAGCCACTTAATGGATGAAAGGTCATCTAGGAAATTATAATCCGCAGTGCATCGGCGGCATATAATTATGCTTAGCTTCTAATAAGTTCTGTTACAGGCAGGCAGACCCAGATCGAGCATGTACTACCTTTCCAGATCTTTCTGCTCCCACCCCAGGGAGCCCATCAACTGAAGAAGTGATTCCTCCAAGTACACAGAGCAAAAGGTATGGCCGTTTGCAGGGACCACCTCTCTAACCATATTAGATGGGCTAGTCTTAGTTTTCTTGACATTTATACATACAGGTGTGCTTGGAAGTTTACATACCCCCATTAACAGAAAAGATAAATTCAATAGTAATACACATTAGTAATTTGAATAACACAAAGCTGAGAAAAGTAATAATAACTAAAGATACTGAACATTTCCTGATGATTATAAAAAAAACAACACCTGATTTCAGTTATTTCCTGAAAAAAAAATGTTGTCTGGTCCTCTATTGCTGTGGTGTTTAGGGCCTGCTCCTCTGCAGCCATGATGAGTGCTCTGTGCTGTCCTTCAGTCTGGCTTTGTCTATCCATGGGTAGGATTTCCTGAGATCCGACACTTCGGTTATGTTTCGGTGGTACATCCCGTGTAAGGGCTTATCCTCCCATGACGGAATCTCCAGCAACTTATCTTCTGTTCCCCATAGTCTGAGACATTCAGTGACCACTTTGTGTGTTGGAACCTTTTCCTTGATGTACTTTTGGATCTTGGATGCTTCATCCTGGATAGTGGCTCTCACGCTCACTAGTCCTCGGTCTCCTTCCTCTTCGCTAGTGTACAGTCTCAGGGGGCTGGATTTGTGGTGGTACCCTCTGTGGATAGTTTGGAGCTTTCGTATCTTAACATCTGTGGCCTGTACCTCATCCTTTGTCCATTTTATTACTCCTGCAGGGTATCTGATTACTGGCAGAGCACAGCTGTTTATTGCCCGAGACTTATTCTTGCCATTGAGCTGGCTTCTTAGGACTTGCCTTACTCGTTGGAGGTATTTGGCCGTAGCTGTTTTCCTTGTCACCTCCTTGAGGTTGCCATTTGTTTGTGGGATTCTGAGGTACTTGTAACTATCCGCAATTGTTCCTTCTGGGATGGAGACCCCCTCTGTGTCGACTACCTTCCCTCTCTTAGTCACCATTCAACCACATTTCTCCAGTCTGAATGACATCTCGATGTCTGTGCTGTAGATCCGGGTGGTATGGATCAGTGAGTCTATGCCTCGCTCATTCTTAGCGTACAGCTCTGAAGGATAGAATAACTAACAGAATTTCTATTTAAATGTTTTTAGGACTTTTAAAGAATTTGCAATACCAAAACTGTCCCTAATTAAGCAGACTTATTGCCATTATGTTTCTGTCTTAATATCCTTCACGTTTCCTGATACCCTAAAAATCTGTCAAAGGCCTAAGATGGATTCAGCATTTAGACATTTTTATTCTAAAAACAATTTACAGCTATATGTCTATATTTTTTAAATAAAATTTAAGGACATTTTGGGCCGGCCATAGACATGCTCTGCTTATATTGTGCAGTAGAGATGATCGTTTCGTCTCCTGGAACATTTTGCTGCCAGAAAAGCTCTTTTGCCTCATCTCACCAAAGTTGAATCCTATTGCGGTTAGCAAACCTTGCTAATTTTTTTATTTGTGAGACAGAAAAGACTTTTTCCTAACATTTTTTTTACCAAAAAAATGTGGGTATCTCGTTGGATTTTGTGCTTTGTTTGAGTTTAGTTTTGGAGATTTTTGTATTTCCTTCCTTCACCACCCCTGTTAAGAACTTTGGGTCTAGTCCAGCTTTGTTTCACACATTTCCATTTAGTATTATGATCATTGTAGTTATTGTGAGTGAGAGTTAGTCTGATTTAACATTTGAATCCCTCTATTTCCACATTTATCAAGATAAAGAAACATCTGGTTTACTTTAACTGAGTTATTTTCTTTTATTTTGAGAGTAATCAAGATTAATGTACCTCTATATCATATTTATACTCTTAAGATAATACAGGGTAAAGTATTGCTTATAAAACATTTTATTCAACAGGATGAATTAGAAAGTGAAGTACTTTATTGCATTAATCAAAATTTATTTGCATTTATTTTCTTTTAATTGTTTAATGTTTGACTTCCCCCAGTGTTTTTTTTAAATAAAGATGGGATCTTTTTCAACTACTTTAAAGTTTAAGATTAAATAGAATTTATATTTCCAGTGTAACATTGTGGATTTGCAATATTAAATTATTTTTCTCAGGCTTCCAGTAACTGTGGAGGATGTCTGCTCAGGTTTCAGTTAATTGTTCAAGTAAAAGGTCGTCCTTTGTTTATGCTGATTTACTTTTTTCTTCCGTTTTTAAATTTGCTTATGCAGATACACGGTTAACAGCTTACATCTGCTTGGTTTGTGGACTAAAAAAAGGATAGTTAATACAGGTTTCTGTGGTTATTTTTGTTAAACCTGCGCTAACATTTCCCCATTTTAATAGTCTTCGTTACAGCCTCTCTCTGGATTCTCTGCAACAAAGACAGAAAGCCAAAGCAGCCGTTTTAAGCAAAGGAAAAGACAGAAAGGCACAAAGTATTCAGAGACAAATCTCCATAGGCACGTAAGTGAAACTACCACTCCTTATTATTAATTTGTTTTTAAATGGCGTAATTCGAGTATAATCTAGGTGGCAAAAATCGCTTCTGCCTCTTTCAGGTATGGGTCCCCTTGTAAGCAGGATCCTCTGGCGGTCCGGTTGCATCGCTGCCGATGGGCGCGCTGCTACACCAACCTGCTGGTGCTCCTCTGTGTGTTGATGCTGACTTACGTAATGTGGAAGCTTCATGAAGAGGAGCCTGAGCCATGACTGGAAAATCATTATTCTCTGCATAGATTCTTTAAGAAATAAAACCCATTCCCATTTCTTTTAAGATTCTTTATTATAAATATACAAAAAAATACCTCATCACTCATACAATCAAGCGGTTAGTAAAAGCACAGCAAACTGCAGTTAAAACATTCATCAGACCGCTAACAGGTCAGGGATTCATAAAAATACTAAACTTCAGGCTAAACATTTAAGTAGGTCCAATAAGTATCAAATTGTTATAAATCTATGTTTCAAGAGAAACCTTTAATAAATAAGGTCAATTTATATTAATAATGTGGAAACCTAAATGACAACTAGAGCAAGTGACTTTATAATAAAAAATGTGTTCCAGCCACAGAAAAAAAACCTTTGTAGTCAATTTCTCACATTTATGAGATTGCATAAGCCTCACTTCAGCTACAGTCTAATATAAGATGACCACAAATAAATAAAAGTGGCATTTCACCTTACATTAAGTTATAAATAATTACCACACCGGTACCAACAGGTCCAATTTTTTCTGCATTACATCAAACAATCTCACAGAGAGTCTAAAGTCTCAATAAATACAGAGATAAATAAACAGGAATAACTTAACGAGCTGGAGGTTGAAAATTACACCTGGCTCACAATTTCCGCATCCTCAGCCACAAACCACTGGACCGGAGTCCCATCTGCAGCTCTCTGGAGGACCAGGTTACCCGAACCCTGAGGGGAGAAAAAAAAAGACCCTTACATCAGTCTTAATACTCATGAGATGTTCTTAAATGAGTCAAATTTATTTTTTTTAAACTCAATGTAACAAGATAAAACAACACATTTTAAAAAGGTTTTTAGTGCCACCTTCAAAAACATTGAAGAGGAAAAAGGCTTTAGAAGCATGACAAGGAGGAACCTTTTTGAACTGAACTATTGTACTATATGTGTTGCAAGAAGCCAACATTCCTCCCTGGTCCTAATGGTGAAACATGGTGCCAGCATCCTGCTGCAGGGACATGAAAGCTGGTCAAAAGTTGATGGGGAGACAATCTGGGAGGGTAAACTAGATTAGAGATCAGGATGCTAGATTATCTTCGTTTTAAACCGTTATCTACCTGTACAACAGTCTCACAGCAACGCAAACACTGTGTAATCTTCCTGCCTCACCACTAGAAGGCAGAATGTCCCAACATCATGAACATGTCCCTGTCTGATTAAAATAGAGCCGTCAATAGATAAACCTTCAGATTGCCTGGGATTAAAATGTTTATAAGGAAAAGAAGATGAGTTTTAGCCGCTGCCTGACTTCTCTAAACATCACTGGTTTTAAACAGGTTGGCTGCACATCATTTTCTTCTGATTTATGTCACACCTTTTATTTTCCATGGCTTCAACATTTTTTCAGTGTTCCGGGATGTTTCCTAAATTTTGATAAGTGCTAATAGAGATTTAGTACTTTTTTCTGTAAAGAGAATGGCAGCTATAATCGCGATGGAAGAATTGCATTTGTAGAGTGACCATATGTAAAGAAATTCAGGGCCTTTAGGAAGGCACTTTAAATACCTTAATGTTTCCATAATAAAGAAATCTGCTGACAATCGACAGTATGTGCTATAAAAACAAGGACATGTAATATATGGTTTTTTTATAAGACAATAAATGGCTCAAGCTTATGCAAAGCAGACTTAATGCACGGTTATATTACACCTCTGAAGATTTGCTCCTTGCAGAGACTGTATCTGTGTTCAGCAGCACCTACCTGTTCAAAGTGGGGCATGTGAGGAGAGGTGGGGCTCATGATGCTCTGATGTTCTCCACAGCTTGGATAGATCTTTTGCAGCTGATTCCTCTGATGCCAGGACTTCAGCTCCTCTGACACAATCTCCCGAGGCATCAGCCTGACGGCGTGGTTTGGGTAGTCTTTTAGCGAAGGCGTTCGGACCAGCTTAGTGTAAGGAGGAGGAGGCTTCAGGATGCTCCTCTGGCAGGGAGTTCCTCTTTGCAGATTGCTAGTCCCAGGGAGTGCAGCTGAAACGTTCTTTCTTTTGTCCGTGTCTTGAGGCGATAGAGGCCTGTTCTCTTCCACAGGTTTGACATTTCCAGGGCTGGACTGAGACTGGCTGGTCCTCTTATCGGGGGTGCGGAAAGAGGAAAGTTCCTTCTTCTGTGCCCCAAAGTGGAATCCGTAAGGCGGGGGACAGAGTTTAGGAATCTCAGAAGGTCTGTCCCTTGCAGGAGAACAGACGTAGGAGGTGGAAGAGTGCTCCGAGCTGCTGTCCTCTGAGCTGGACTGGTAAGGACGCGGAGGGGAGAACTCTGGAGAGCGCAGCATGGTCTCTGGAACACAGCGCTGCTGAGGCAGCCTGGTTCGGCCGCGGCTCAGCCGCTCCATGTCAACAGTCAACTTCTTTTTGGGAAGTCTGGGGGAATAAAAACTAAATTATAAACTCTATAAACACCAGAAGAATGATATGGAAAATATTTAAAAACACCATAACCTCTTAAGGATCAACTTTTTAATACAGCCACCATATTATCAGCAATCATTTTACACAAACCAATAATGAACATAATAGCTGAAGCTGCTTTCTATTTGATACTGTTTTAAGAGCTAATTAACTATTTTTGTTTTAGTTGCATCTAATCTAACTTCAATAATCTATACTTTAAAATCTATAATACTTGAACCATTGCGTACTTCAAAGATCTAAGGAAAATGTTCATTTAGAAAAGGATGTAAAAAGAGGAACAAAGTTATTTCTGGTGTGAAAAAGCTCTCCTTTGAAGTCTGATAGTTATAGCTGCAGTGAGTGAGGAAACAAAGCTTTTAGTATTGGTTTGACAAGATTTAGCAAGGTAAGTGCACCGACAGTCACTGTGATTAAAGGTTTTGTGGGGCAGAACTGACTGCATGTAATCCAATAAAATTATTATTTTTTTTGCCATGTTATCTAAACATTGGGGGATGTGTTTTGTAAAGTCTTCCTTCGTAGGATCTGAAGCTATTCCTGAGCCCAAATGCCCACTATCTCTGCAAAAATGTATCTAACAAGTCATTGAATATTCCTTTAAGAATACTATCCATATATATAAAAGTTATCAAAGACAAAATATATGGTATAAGAGCCTGCTGCAGGGCACATGTTGGTAGGCTTTTTGGATGTTTATTCGGAACATAATGGTCTCTATACCTGAAGGACTGGGAGTATTGTCGGCGTACGAGCAGCTCTGGAGTAGAGGGGGCGCTGGTGGACTGGTTGTTGCGCAAAGCAGAGTTCCTGACGAACTGTGTGAGAGGAATTCTGCAGCTTTCTGCAGACAGCTGGACTCCTGCTGGACTACTGCATACAATCAAACAGGAACAAGACAATCAGCAAAGCCTTGCCTTCTTTTAAAGATCTAAATGTCTACAGTACAAACCAGGAGGGTCTTTTACTGTAATGTTTTTCATTTAAAACAAAAGGCTGCTTTTAAATTATAATAAGAAAAAGCATGATTAAAATGTAACAGTAAGCCTCTGCTTGATGAGATGTTCTTAGACATCTGTTTCTTACCTAGACCTGCTTCTGCTGGCTGACTGAGGTTTTGTTGCTCTCTGGTAAGGCTGATCCAGACTGGACTCCTTCCATGGAGAGTTCTGGATTGGAGAGCGTTCATACTGCGCATCCACCTGGCCTGAAGGCTGATGGGGTGAATGCAGAGGGTCTGAATGGGGAGTGTCCAACACTGGGGGCGAGTGCGGGCAAGATGAATCTACGTCTTGAAAGGATACAAAAAACGAAAGGTTTTCCTCTTTTGCAAAAAAAATTTTTTTAAAAGGAGATAAAAAACTGACAGCTCAATTCTAAATGTATCTTAAATTTAATAATAAAAAACGCCACTAAACTTTAAAACTTTATGCTGTTTCTCTCAGTTTATTAGTGTATTTGTGCAATCTGCTTTTACCTCAGGCACTCATGTGTAAAGTCAATCATGTACGCATGTTAACTCACCATCATCCAGAGCCACCACATCAGAAAGGGAGCTGTCATCAGAAGTATCTGTGGAGAAAAATCACACATTTCAAACTTTCATCCCACCCACTGCATTTCACAGATAGTCCTTAGGGAGCAGCAGCATAACTCACCTTTACTTGGGCTGCTTGAGATGGAGATGCAGGGTGAATTACACTCACTCTTGATCCTGTGCTGGAAAACAGCCTCCTGCAGATCTTTCACTTTCTTCTCCTCCCTTTTGCACTGCTGCAGCCGGCTCTTCTTCTGTGGTTTACTGAGGTTCTCCTCGAGGGAGAGCTTTCGGGCCGCCTCGTAAATCTGTCGCTGGACCGCCAAGTCAGTTTCCAGAGCTTGTAACTCTGAGTCCTAGGATAAAGAGAAATATGGAAAGTTGCTTTAACTCTCTGTTTCTTCTTTAAGCCCATCCCCAGTGAGGACTGATGAGGTGGCAGCTGGTACCTGTTGGTCCTGATGGATCAGACCTTCATCCAGCTTGAAAGAAGCTCCGATCCTCCTCCTAACCCGAGGCGGCTTCTCATCAGGCATCAGAGGAAAGTCTGAGGGGATTGAGCCCGTCAGTTCCTGTGAAACCAAAACAGAGCAGCTGATTACAGAAAAAGTGTCACGTTTAGGAATGAAATATTGTTTTCCCATAGAGAATATAATAACAACAAATTATTCCCTGAAACTGCAAGGGCTCACTTACCGCCTCCCTGATGCAAAGTTTTCGAAGCTCCAGCAGGCAGAGCTCCAGACGTTCTTCCAGAGATTGATGCTTCAGTTTCAGGGCTCTGGTGTGGGTGGTCAGGTCCTTCACCGGAGAGGTGGGGCTGTCTGGACCTGAGGCAATTATAAAACGCGACGTTGAATAAAAATCAGACAAAGGTGCACGCGTTCTCTAACCTCCTGCATAATTAAGGATTACGCTACCAACTTCCACGTATGGAAAATCAAATTGAATAATTCGTTGAGATTTGATGAAAAGAGGCTAATACAGACCAAGGTAACACATGAATATGCTTTTCTTTAGTTCAACAATCTTAAAGGCCTGAGGGGTGTTTTTTTTATCAAGTATCAGGTA